TTACTTCTGGATAAGAGCGGTGCCATAATTCCGAAGGCGGTTTCGCGGTGTACTTCCCCGGCCTCCAGATGCACCGCCAAAAACGGCAGAGGAAACACCCAAAAGGGTTGGGATGGAATGAGTGAGTTTTCGTTATTCGGAAAGCAGTCCCGTAACGCATGTCTGTCGGGCGCGTTGCCTACACTCTCATTCAGGGGTGTTCTAAAACTTGACGCCTTTAGTCGCTTGCCTTAGGTTTTGTACCACCTTGAGTCGCCTCACCACATAACGCCAAAAGGCGCCTCAAAACAAAGCGCCTTAGGCGCTTTCTTTTGAAACACCTTGGGCCCAAACCACTGCCTGAGATAGCAATGCATGGCTGCTTAGGCTCACTTGCAAAGGTGCGTCCCATGTAAACACCTTTCACTTTGATTTTACTAGTGGGGGTGCGCCCAGGCCAAACACCCCTGCTGCACTATGGATGCAGCGCAAGGTGTATGCTGGCCATACACCTTGCGCTTTCTTTGCATGGCAGTGGACAAGGTGCGTGGAGTCTAAACACCTTCAGCCTAGGCTGAAGTAGGCGCAAAGGTGTGTGGTCTGCAAACACCTTTATGACCTACCGCATTTGTGCTGACTGGGGTGCGCTCTGGGCAAACACCTTTTGTCATCATTGGGAGAAATACCTGTGTACTTTGGTAGATGTTGAAGTTTCGACTGCTTCCGCTGCATTCTTGGTAGTGACTGTTAGTACTTCAAACCAAACCCGACTAAATACCCTTACAGTCATGTTTACCTACTACATGTACTTTAGAAGTTGACCTGAAGAAATTAATCACAAGGATGTTGTTAGGTGTTGATATCCAATAATAAATAGAGTATTCCATTATGTTGCTTGCTTTCTGTACATCATGGTGAGGTTCAAATGTTAATGTAAACTTGCATTGTAGTCACTGTTTTCACTTTCACACGAGGACTGAATGATGTTTGAATAAAACTATAACATAAACAACGATAAATGATCCGGTTGGGGAATGTCCTTGTCACACGATTCATGTAAAGCCATAAATTTGATAAAGTAATTACTGCAACACCAAACGTAAAGACGGCCATTTCCAAAAACTCTCCTCTCCGAAACGCTGTGAGTGCAGATTCAGATTCGAGTCATGAAAAACTCAGACTAGCCTCGATGATGAAAATGTGCGCACTGCAGAGACGGCCAACAAACAAACTATAGGCTTGTCTAAATTTTTCATACAAGACTGGCCTTGGTTTTGATTGTTGGCCGTCTCTGGAGTGTGCGAGGCTAGTCCGAGTTTTTCATACCTGACTCGAATCTGAATCTGCACTCACAGCGTTTTGGAGAGGAGAGGCGAGTTTTTGGAAATGGCCGTCGTTACGGTTGGTGTTGCAGTAATTACTTTATCAAATTTATGGCTTTACATTAATCGTGTGACATGGACATTCCCCAACCGGATCATTTATCGTTGTTTATGTTATGTTTTTATTCAAACATCATTCTGTCCTCGTGTGAAATTGAAAACAGTGACTACAATGCAAGTTTACATCAACAGTTGAACCTCACCATGATGTACAGAAAGCAAGCAACATAATGGAATACTCTATTTATTATTGGATATCAACACCTAACAACATCCTTGTGATTAATTTCTTCAGGTCAACTTCTAAAGTACATGTAGTAGGTAAACATGACTGTAAGGGAATTTAGTCGGGTTTGGTTTGAAGTACTAACAGTCACTACCAAGAATGCAGCGGAAGCAGTCGAAACTTCAACATCTACCAAAGTACACAGGTATTTCTCCCAATGATGACAAAAGGTGTTTGCCCAGAGCGCACCCCAGTCAGCACAAATGCGGTAGGTCATAAAGGTGTTTGCAGACCACACACCTTTGCGCCTACTTCAGCCTAGGCTGAAGGTGTTTAGACTCCACGCACCTTGTCCACTGCCATGCAAAGAAAGCGCAAGGTGTATGGCCAGCATACACCTTGCGCTGCATCCATAGTGCAGCAGGGGTGTTTGGCCTGGGCGCACCCCCACTAGTAAAATCAAAGTGAAAGGTGTTTACATGGGACGCACCTTTGCAAGTGAGCCTAAGCAGCCATGCATTGCTATCTCATGCAGTGGTTTGAGCCCAAGGTGTTTCAAAAGAGAGCGCCTTAGGCGCTTTGTTTTGAGGCGCCTTTTGGCGTTACGTGGTGAGGCGACTCAAGGTGGTACAAAACCTAAGGCAAGCGACTAAAGGCGTCAAGTTTTAGAACACCCCTGAATGAGAGTGTACCCTCCGCTTCACAGGCGCTTCCTCTGTCCACTCGGCGCTCTCTCCTCCTCGGTGCTCTCTCGTCCCCGTCCTCCTCGTCCTCGTCCTCCTCGTCCTCCTCGTCCTCCTCGTCCTCCTCGTCCTCCTCGTCCTCCTCGTCCTCCTCGTCCTCCTCGTCCTCGTCCTCCTCGTCCTCCTCGTCCTCCTCGTCCTCGTCCTCCTCGTCCTCGTCCTCGTCCTCCTCGTCCTCCTCGTCCTCGTCCTCCTCGTCCTCGTCCTCGTCCTCCTCGTCCTCCTCGTCCTCGTCCTCCTCGTCCTCCTCGTCCTCGTCCTCCTCGTCCTCGTCCTTCTCGTCCTCCTCCTCGTCCTCGTCCTCCTCGTCCTCGTCCTTCTCCTCGTCCTCCTCCTGCTCCTTGGCTGCCAAAATGGGTGCGCCACGCGACCGAGCGGATAATTTTTCATTTCTATACGGGAGAGTGATCGGTCCTCGGTCCGAGCCGCGCGGCCTAAAGGCGCCTAAAGGCCATGACAGCGGGAGCTACTTGTCGCCGTCTCGCTCGCACTGCAGCGCGGCCGCCGGGGAAAGACGAGGACGGTGAAGGTGGCGATTAGGCCGGCTGTCATCCCCAGCCAACGAGGCCACGGTCGTGGTCCCGCGCACTCCAAAAATGGGGCCTCGGTTCAAGGCCGTCGGCAGGACTTATGGACTTAGACACAAGGCCATGGTTATCGTGGTCATGGTACAGTGGGCCAGAAGGCCGGCGCAGGCGGCCAAAGACGCGTTTTGAGCTCCAGAGTCGCTAAATGGGACTCGAACCGACTCTGGAGCTCAAAATGCGTCTGGAGTTTCGGCCGCCTCCACCGGTCTTCTGGCCCACTGTGCGTGGTGGTCCTTGGTGGCTGCCCTCATCCTCTACAAATGCCCCTCATGTGATCCGTCGGCCTCGCCAGGCCTCCCCGCGGGCCGTGGAGGCCAACACACAGAGACAAAGCCAGTGATGAGACAAGAGGGGGAGGGAGATGAAAGAGTCGTGGTTAAAACGGCTTCCATTCTTTTGGCGCGCTGTGCCGTTTTATTGGATCCGCTTGGCGGCCTCTGCCCTGCTGCTCGCTCGAGGTTTGCTTTACCGAGTAGCGCCTTTTCTTTTTGGTGTGTGTCTCTCTCGCCCTAGAACGAGTAGCGGCACGTTGGGCGAGTCTGCGGCGACCGCCTAGCTCAGCCCAAACATTCCAGCATCGTTCATTAGATTGGCCACCGCACATATGACTTCCTGGCCTCCTCGCCTTCAATCCACCCCCATTAGCAGTGGCCTGCCCCCCCCCCTCCCTCTCTCTCTCCTTCTCTTTCTCTCTCTCTCTCTCTCTCTCTCTCTCTCTCTCTCTCTCTCTCTCTCTCCCTCTCTCTCTCTCTCTCTCTCTCTCCCCCTCTCCTGGGCCACGCCCATACGGGCCGCCGCTGGCCCCAAGCAGGGTTCACTAATCCGTTTATTACACAAGTCGATTCAGTGGCCACCATAACCGCGCCGCCGTGTGGCGTCTCCATACTCCCAGCGGGACCAATTTATTTATTTATGTAATAACAGCGCGCTGTGCGTGCCACTGGGATTGCGAAGCTTACATTGCAAAAAAATAATGTTTTCGCATCAAAATCAACACTTTTGTGTTCTTGTTCGCATTTTACTTGATATTTTTGCACCTGGTGCTATCTTTGGTGCGTTTTTCTTCTTCTGGATTTTTCACTGTGGGTCACTCCAAATCGTAAGGCGGTACAAAGGTTATTACAAAGGTGGTACAGAAATTACTGCCCGTTACGTGCCCTACAAACGGGTTAACCATCCTAAATGAACCTTACAGACGGTTTGAAAAATGCCTTACAGGATATTACCGCCAATGATGTGCCCTACACGCAACGCGTCCACACCGATCTGCACTCTCCCGAGGGCATATCAAGGAGGTACAAAATATGACCGCCAATTTCGTGCCCTTGTTGCGGCGTTTACAAGGCGGTAAATCTGTCGAAGGGCGGTACAAACGGTCTAAAAAGGGTGGTGATTTTTGTACCGCCCTCGCAAAGATGGTAAAATCTGGAGCCCGCCTTTGGCAAAATCACCGCCGTTGGAGGCCTTTACCGCCCGTAAAGGGTGGAAATATTACCGCCTTTCGATTTGGAGTGGTGCCGCTGTGTGCCGGCGGTTTTGAATTTCATCCGCCGTTTTCGCCACAGCGCCGATTTTCACCTAATGAATAACGCGGTGACACGAACGCGACTACGCTTGCCATGCATAGCTCCCGCACTGCAGGCCGCGGCAGTGGGTTGCACGAGTTCAAAAAATAGTAGGCACTCCGGAAGAAAATGTTGAAAAAGAAAATTGAAAAAATTGAAAAATTGAAAAAAAAATTCAAACTCTTATACGTTATTATTTTGTTTAAATTTCCAACAAGTATAGTACAAAAACACTTTCTTAAAAAAATATTAAGATTTTGGGAATTTACGGCCGGAGCTTCGAAGAAACTTTGCGAAATTTTGAATTTTGTTTTGTATTTGACAGTGCCCAATGAGTGCGAGAGTGACGGCCCGGGCGGCCACCCCCTTTGGGGACAGTGGGGTAAAGGTCACAGGGCCAGAAGCGGGCAGAAGCGTGGGGCGGCGCGTTCAGGCGCCAGCATAAACATGACGACCAGTATCATTAACGGTGTGGTCTCGGACGAATTTCCTAAAACTTGTTTTGTTGTTTTTTTCAGATGTCACACAGCAACGAGCGCGAGGTGCTGCTCACCAACATGGACGTTAACGCCACGGGGGACTTCTTCTGCGAGGTGTCCACCGAGGTGCCGAGCATCTACACCAAGGCCTCCGACGAGGTGGAGATCACCGTCTACAGTGAGTGGCCCTTTTTTTACCGCGCATCGTGATAAAATGGAATAAAACGAGCAAAGAAGACATTTCTTGTTGTTTTTTAAAAGAGAACAACAATAATAAGCAGATAAAGCGGTTGGCAGCGAGTATCGGCGGCGCGCAGGTTGCGTATCCAGCTATCTATGCAGCCCATCTCCCCCGCCCGCTTCGGCGCCCCTTCGGCGCCCGTTCCATGCCTCTCAAGAAGGCGCCTGGAGTCTGACTCCGATAGCGCGCATCCGTCTCTCTCGCACCCCCGCGGCACCCCGCGGGGCCCTGCGGGACGGCCCGCGAGTGCGAGAGAGACGGCGCAACGGCAGGTCCGCGCGGAGGCAGCCCGCTGATGACGTGACGGAGACCCTCCCGTCCTCGGCAGCCCTGCGTCTCTCTTCCTTCCAGAACTCAATTTTGTATGAAAACTGAATCCTTGTGAAAAACGATATCACAGTGGCGAGGCTGGGAGGGGGCACCCAGAACGCGTGGAAAACAAAAGACAGAACTTTTTGGCGCCAAAAGTGTAGACTCAAAAATTTTCATAATTTTTGGGGGTAGTTATCACTCCAAATCCAGTGGCAAGTTTCCTCGCCACTGGAGTGGCGTCTTTTCCAAAGCGCCAAAATTTGGCGTTGTCATCCCTGGTTTCCGGATTCCATGCCAAATTTTGGCGTTCCACAGAGAGCGCCAAAATTTGGCGTTCCATTCCCCAGAGCACCACAGACCAGAACGCCAAAAATTGGCGCTGCAAAAGAAATGCAATAATTTGGGTTGGAAAGCGATACCCATTCACAGAAAAATAAATGTGCATACAATAGTTTTCAGTGCTTAGGATCCCCAGTTCAAATCACAGCAATTATACTATGAAAAGTAGAACTGGACCAGTAAAAATACAAGACCTGCATTTGTATTTTCAGGTTACGTGTCAATGCCGCTGACCAACTATTGAATCACTTCGGTTTGGCCAGCGATTCCTGAGACACTTGGAAAATGGTACTCACATCAACACAAAAAGCTGGATATCACTGCGTCACTCTCTCTTGATAAAGGGTTGACACAGCAAGGGGTCTCAGTCCATTCTCAAATCAGGAAGACTTGAGCTAGCCTCAGAGCCCTAGCCTGGCCCTGCCGCATCACACCACTCCCTCTTCAAAATCTTCCTCAGAACAACACTTGAATAGTTTTGAAATGGCCCGAGAGCACTCAGGCCTTTCGAAAGTACTGTGACACGATAAAACATGACTGACACACACTATCGTTGACCGTGGCGAGACGAAATGCACACAAAAGTAACAATTTGAATGTTTCGTTTGTCTAAGAGGAGTAGCCATGTTTACTGTTTTTGTTGTTTTGCTTTTGTTGATTGCTTATGCGCCCTAACCTGTTGAGTGCGAATAAAACGTGGAGGGCGAATAACATGTTATTCGCACGCATTATGTTATTCGCCCTCCACCTCCACATGTTATTCGCACGCATTATGTTATTCGCCCTCCACCTCCACGTTTTATTCGCACTCAACAGGTTAGGGCGCATAAGCAATCAACAAAAGCAAAACAACAAAAACAGTAAACATGGCTACTCCTCTTAGACAAACGAAACATTCAAATTGTTACTTTTGTGTGCATTTCGTCTCGCCACGGTCAACGATAGTGTGTGTCAGTCATGTTTTATCGTGTCACAGTACTTTCGAAAGGCCTGAGTGCTCTCGGGCCATTTCAAAACTATTCAAGTGTTGTTCTGAGGAAGATTTTGAAGAGGGAGTGGTGTGATGCGGCAGGGCCAGGCTAGGGCTCTGAGGCTAGCTCAAGTCTTCCTGATTTGAGAATGGACTGAGACCCCTTGCTGTGTCAACCCTTTATCAAGAGAGAGTGACGCAGTGATATCCAGCTTTTTGTGTTGATGTGAGTACCATTTTCCAAGTGTCTCAGGAATCGCTGGCCAAACCGAAGTGATTCAATAGTTGGTCAGCGGCATTGACACGTAACCTGAAAATACAAATGCAGGTCTTGTATTTTACTGGTCCAGTTCTACTTTTCATAGTATAATTGCTGTGATTTGAACTGGGGATCCTAAGCACTGAAAACTATTGTATGCACATTTATTTTTCTGTGAATGGGTATCGCTTTCCAACCCAAATTATTGCATTTCTTTTGCAGCGCCAATTTTTGGCGTTCTGGTCTGTGGTGCTCTGGGGAATGGAACGCCAAATTTTGGCGCTCTCTGTGGAACGCCAAAATTTGGCATGGAATCCGGAAACCAGGGATGACAACGCCAAATTTTGGCGCTTTGGAAAAGACGCCACTCCAGTGGCGAGGAAACTAGCCACTGGATTTGGAGTGATTCATCCTGACGCAGTTACGTCGGCGTTCTCTCTGGTGGAGGGGGGTGGGGAAAGTCCCCCGACTAGGGCGAGGCGCTCTCGCATGTATTTAGTATGGGAACGCGGAGTGGTTTATGGCGGGCTCTTAATCTGCAGAATCGGACCCATTTGTTTGGCCGAAATCCTCGCGCTGCAGCCTCAGCCACTACAAAGAAAGCGGCCGCCGCGGCAGGTGCGGTCGCGGGCAGGGGGAGGGGGATAACATTTTGCGAATAAGAAATTCAAATAAGAGGCACAACAGTTGGCTCCAGTCGCTCTCCACGCTGCCATGGCACTGCCACGGCACTGCTAAAGGAAAAGCAGTGAGGGGAAGGGGTGGGGGGGATCGACTCGGGGCGCGCGGCCACCGCGGCCACCGCGGCCACACCGCCGTAGGATGCAAATTCCGGTAATGAGGAGAGTAATTGTCGCATTCATTCGCCAGACTGGCCATTCCCCCTCCCCCCCCCCTCCTCTCTCAACCTCGAGGTGCACTGCACTGCGAAAATAAGGGGGTTGTCGCCCGGCTGCCCGGTCGCCTGGTCGCCCGATGGAGCGTGCCAAACGAGCCGGGAAGGGGTAAATAAACGGACGGATTTATATTCATTTTCCGGGGGCGGCCCAAAGTTTACGCCGACGCGATCCTGTTCACTGACCAAAAGCATACCAACAACAACAACAACTTCCCTTTCAAAAAAATACTTTTCTCCTTTTTGTGAAAGATTATGGTCAGCTCCAAGTAACAGCCATCTCGGTTCATTTTATTGATCACACGAGAGCAGTGAGGGGGAGGGAGTATTCGACGACCAAAAAAGTTCTTCCCTCTTAAAAAATGCATTCAGAAGTGAGAAAAAGTTGTTCGGCACGATGGCTAGGCCGCCGGTGCAGCGCGACCCGCCACGAGTGTCTATTGCTCTTTCTCCCTCTCTCTCACACGCACAAACTTTCGACATTCTATCTCTCTCTCGGTCTCGGGATCGAACGTGCAACTTGGTAGGATTAGCATAGCCAACTCAAACGAGGTGTTTGGTGTGTGTGCTGCATCGTGGGCAGCCCTGGGGGCCGCGACGTGTGTGACCTGGGACAGACAGACAGACAGACAGACAGTCAGACAGTCAGACAGACAGACGAATTGACGGAGTGGCTTGGGAGTGGACCAGTGCCAGTGAGTCCAGTTTGACTCGCGCCAACTAACTTACATTAGTTGGCTGGGGATTTGCCTTTGCTGGGCGGCGTTGCCACAGCAGGGCAAAGGCTTGCTGACCTCCTTTTCCAGCCCCTCCACTTCTTCCAAGACTTATCCTTCTTCTTCTTCCCTTTTTTGTGTTCTGTTTCGAGCCGGCGCAAAATCCGGTGCTATCGGTTTCCTCTGCAAGCAGTATGTGTGTTGCTCTTGCGAGCCCCGCTGAATAAAACATGGTGTGTGCAACCCCCTCCCCTCCCCTCCGTCCCCGCGGACTGCCCTCGACAGTTCCTCTGACCCTCGCTGATGCTGATGCAATGTGACGGTCTTGGACGGGCAGGATGAGCTCCGAGGCCGGTGCCGCGGCATGCCGGGCCGGGCACATGACACCCCTAGTCTTCCAATTACCAAGCGGAGGCTGATTTAGCCTCGCGACAGGGCTGTCCATTTATAACGCCACGGCCTATGAAAAGCGTGCAAAGTGCCGTCACGAGCCCGTTGAACTGACCCAATCTGAGCTGTTTTTTATTTTATTTTCTCGCAGATGGGGTTTGAATGAAACACACGAGGCCACCGTTGGACTCCTTCGTTCAAACAAGGGCCCGCCGAAATGGCCCTGCCCCGCGACGCTAACTGAACAAGCCGTGGGTTTCCGCTACACCGCGCGGCCCCGTTACTCTTCACTGCTGCGGTCCGTTCCGCGGCGGAACGGGACGAAAAAGGCGCAAAGAGTCACGGTCTGCGCGCGCTCTTCTTGCGCCCATAAGGAAGTGGCTCTGGCCGACTCAATTTGTGTTTAATTGTGACCATTTTTCTCTCTGGGGAGCGCAAGAGCAGGGACCGGCCAATTTCGGCGGGATACGCCATTCTGACCCCCCCCCCCCCCCCCTTTTTCCCTGCCGAGAGCGCCTCTCCGCCGGGCAAGCCGTCCGCGCTCAGTTAGCAGCACAATGGGGCCGATGGGGCCTTGGAAGGGGCTGTGCTGCCTGATGCGGCCCGGTTCAATCATCGAGGCATTCTATCGCCCGGTCATCGGCTGGGGCCCTCTATGGGCTTAACTGAACCAGGTTCCGGCCACACTGCGTCCGAACTGAACGACCTGCAGGGTGTAACGTAACCTCCAAATTTTTATCTGGACTGGCCTGCCAGAACCTGACTGAACCAGGTTCCGGAAACCTCCTAACTGAACCAAGGCTGCCAACCCTAACCTCACCCAACCTCGGCAAGCAAACTGAACAGCCTCCAGAGCGTGGCCGTGTCCCATTGATTTTTCTCCCTTTCTGTTTGGCGCCCCGGCCGCGCCACCTGTCGCCATATTTCTCACCTCGCCTGATCCCGCGACGACCGGCGGTTAATTACGGCTTACGGTGGCGTGGCAGGCCGGCCGGGGCGGCCAGGGCGGGCAGCAGTGCCGGGAGTAAAAGTTGGCCATATCTTACACCGCTAAGCCCGTTTAAGCGGGGTCGGGCCCCTGTCGGGCGGCCCGCGGTTTCAGTCGGGGAGGGGGGATTAAAACCAAACAGTTCCCAAACTAGTTCACTCCGAAAGATGACGCCGCTGCAATTGTTTCCAACGTGTCTTTAATGTTGGTATTGGCGGGGCGAACCCGCTCGAAAAGACACGCTGACCAACTTAAAGTGGGCGAAACGGCGGGAAAAGTGAATTCGCGCCGAAAATCTGTTTTGTTTCGCCGCTGCGCCGCGGCGCTGCCGCCGTCCCCGTTCCTTCTGGGATATTTCTTCTATTTGCAATAGAATTTCTCCCTTTTCCTTTTACCTTTTTGCCCGCGGGATGCCTCCTTTATTGGCACGCTTTAATAATTCATGTCCCGAACAGGAGAGCTGAGATTGGCGCCGCCGGTGGCTTCGGGAGGGGGAAGTCCCCGCGCTTCCTTCCGAGTCGGCCAAGGGCTGCGCAGGGCGGCCGAGGGCGGCCGAGGGCCCCGCAGAACGCGAGCGGCGGTAAAAGGGTGGAAAATTCAAAACTTTACGCGAAGGGCGCCCCGCCGTGCCGTGCCGCGCCACGTTTGAGTTCAGAGGTTGCCCCCCTGCTCGGTGGCGCGCGCTTTCTTCGCAACCCTACAAAATTACGGCCGATAGGGACCGAATATCGCCGTGCGGTTGGCAGCGCCGAGTGGCCCCGGGCCTCGGAGACGCGCTGCCAACGGCACTGCCAACGCAACAAAGAAAAAAGTTTCTCTTTTATCGTGTTGATTCGGGCAGGTGACTGCGGGCTGTCGGCCGCAGGCTGGCCAGCGGCGCCAGCGGCACTCGTTTAATTAAATGTCCCTTCTTAATGAGCCATGAAGGGGCCAGCCGACCCCGCCCAAAACGGACAGATGGATGGGGAGAGTCGATAATCAGGGGAGTGGTGGCGGAACTGCCGGGGGCGGCGCGGGGGCAGCCGGGGGCGGCGCGGGCAACTGAGCAGGCAGCGCCGAAGTTGTAGTGGATTTCTATCTAATCATGTGGATGAAAGAACGACGTCAAAACGGACGAAAGCAGAGGCCAACATAATGTCCGCTTGGCTCGGACAGTCTCTTTGAAGTTGGCAGCACTGGCTGGGGCACAGTCAGCACGGTCGTCAACGGGGAGAGCGCGGGAGGGCGGGGTCGGAGTATGAAGGCACTGCCAGAAACAAACAAAACATTAAAACAATCAATTGAGAAAAAATATAATAATGTTTAATTTTTACAATGTTTAGTAATTTTTTGAGAAAGTTGTTGTGTTTTTGGACAGTATTGCTTACCTGCAAGCCTGCCTCGCCTTCCCGTCCCTTTTAGGGTGGCGCCGACGAGAAGAAAGAGAAATCCTAATGAGGTTGGCAGCAGTGTGTCAAAGGTCGGTCAAACAGGGCGGCGCGATACCCATCACCGCCTTTGTGTTTGGCTAAGTACCCCTGAAGCAGCCGGTCGGTAACGACAGTGTGATAATCCAGGCGGGCAAACACGAGCCCGTCCCACGGCATGAAAAATGGCCAAACTTGACAATAATGACGCGTTGTTGTTGTTTGTTGCAGAGCCGCAGCGAAGTCCGCCCCGGATCTCCGGGCTGGAGACGGAGTACAGTCCGGGACAAATGATCAACGCCAACTGCACCTCGGTGGACGGCCACCCGGCGCCTTCCATCACCTGGCTGCTGGACGAGATCCCGGTGAGTAGGCGCTTCGCGGAGGCCCGGGTTCCAATCCCGCCGGCGTGCCACTCGTTTTCACTGCGGCGAGTGTCTGCTGGAAGACGCAGGCCATACCGCTCTAGAAATTAAAATTAAAGTTCCTGATAAGCAAAATTTAAATTTCAGCTCTCAAAAAACTGAATCAAAACAACAGAAGTTTGAATTTTTTTAAATTTTTAATCTACGAGGCGGTACGTAACGCAGGTAAAACCCTTCTTCCTCTCTTTCGATCGAGTGAGGCCGGCTGTCGGGCACACTGTGAAATCAAGGCTACCTGCGCGCGGTGGACACCGGGATGGACACCGGAACGGAACGAAGGGGGCGGCGGTGGCTTGCAGTGGCGGCCAGCGAGACGGGCGCGGGGAGACGCCTAGGCGCCCCCCCCCCAAGACAGAGCGCGACACGCTACGACGTGCAGGGGACGTCACGCGAAGGATAGCGCCAAGGGGTTGCGGCTGGCGGTGGCCGGTCGCGGCGGCTTCCCCCCAATTCGAAGGGGCAGGTGGGCAGGCCGGGCTTCTTGTTAAGGCCAGGGAAGGCCGCGGAACGAACGCCGCGGAAGCGGGACAAACAAGCACGCCGGTCGCTGTGTGTGTGTGTGTGTGTGTGTGTGTTTGTGTGTGTGTGTGTGTGTGTGTCTGTGTGACTGTGTGTGTCCGTGTGGGCACAAGGCCGAGGTAAACAGACGCACCTTTGCTAAACCCATCCACTCAGGGCCCCCCTCTCCCTCTCCCCGACACGGCGGCCTAACCGGACCACCCGTCGACACACGGCCCGGCCCAAAGTTGGCGGCGTGTCGGGGAGGGACAGCAGGTCGCCGGCGACGTGGCCTCGTCGGCGTCCTCGTCGGCGTCCTCGTCGGCGTCCTCGCCGGCCTTGGTGCCTCGGATGGCCGCCGGCATGGAAGTTTCAACTGGGTCGCGCTGCATTCGTAAACCACGAGGCGGCAGACGGCAGGCGGTTTGATCCGAGTTCTCGGCCTTGCATTAAAGATGGGACCGTGACCGTGACCCAGTCCCCGGATGAATGAGTCACGTGCTTGGCGGACGTTCCCCGCGCGGAGTTGCCGCCAGCCGCGCGCGCGGGAACCAGCGGGAACCCTGCCGCTTTGCGCGCCACAAAAGTTTTTGGCGGGAAAATGATTGCAAGTTTCTGGGAAGGCGTTATGGCCCGTGGTCAGTGGGACGGCGAGGAGGGCGGTCAGCGGCGCCGGCCGAGCCATAACCGCACTGCTACTGTGCGGCCCACCCCGCGGCCCCAGAAAGAGAGAGAGAGAGAGAGAGAGAGAGAGAGAGAGAGAGAGAGAGAGAGAGAGAGAGAGAGAGAGAGAGAGAGAGGAGCACGAAGGGGTACAAATATCGGCAGCCAGAGGGTATTCGATAAAACCCGCTATTTCGGCCCGGCCCCGCGGCGCTATAGGTAGGGAGGAAAAGGGGGGGGGGCACGTTTGACGAGGGTGCGGCTGAAGGTCGCGCTGCGCTTCCTTATCAGGCTGCACATGCTCGCGTCTTAAGAAACTCGCATTATTTTTTAACTCTTTTTTGCCATTTTTTTGTTTAAAAAGAGGAAGTTTCGTAAGGTATTTCGGGTTTGGGTAATTTTGGTCGCTGAATGCTGCAAATTTTGGGTTGAGATGCTACGATTGTAAATGCTGAGTTTTCTACGTTTTTCTAGGTTTTCAATTTTTTTTTAGTTTAGGGCTGAAGCCGTGGTTGTGTTTGGTAGCTTGGCCTTTTGGCCTGTAACAGTGCATCGGTAGTCCTCCTGATCCTTCGTGGGGCCCGGCTCGGCCTGTCCACTGAACCAGACGGGAAGGCGAGGCGCAATCGTTCCCTCTCTCTCTCTCTCTCTCTCTCTCTCTCTCTCTCTCCTCGCTCTCACAGGACATGGCGGATTGGCCCCTCCTCTCGAGTTTATATTCTCCAAATCCGACGCTCGCCTCCTCGGCCACACACGCGGCTTGTTTCCATCAGGCCCCATTTTTCATCGCCTCAAGTTGAAGATGATGACGGATCGCACTGGCTTTGCAGTGAGGGCGCGAGGCTTTCGCCCGGCAGCGCCGAGCGGCGCAAAGCTACCGAAACCAACTTGTTTTCTAATAAGGAAAGTTTGACGATACTGGTGTCTGCAGCATCAGGCGGCCAGCCGTCAGGCAGCCATCAGGCGGCCAGCCATCAGGCAGCCAGCCGGCAGCCAGCCAGCGGGGCGGCGAATGGGAATTAAGTCATGACGATATCGGAAAGCAGTAGTGGAAGACAGCGAGTGGTGTGGCCTTGGGAGTCCTCCGGGCGAAACGCGGCAACCCGTGTTACCCTCTTCAAGCCCCGAAATTCAGCCTGCCAGAGGCGAGAACGTTGAAAGTGACCGGTGGCTGAATGTTGCAGGTGGACGAGCGGCAGGTGGTAAGCTGGGTGCAGCCGGTCGGGTCCTCGGTGTCGGGGTCCTCGGTGTCGCTCGTGGTGCAGGCCCTGGACGACAACAAGGACTCCAGGGAGATGAAGGTGACGTGTGTCACATCCCACCCGCCCTACACGGGCCCGCTCGAGTACGTCGACATCCAGCGGCAGGAGATCACGGGTAAGAACACCATTTCTTGTCCATTTTTTTTTAATTTTAAAGCGAGGGAGAAGTGCACGCAAAACACATCCATCTCAAAATTTAACCAACGTGAAAAAGAGCAAAAATCCTTATCAAAAAAAAAAAAAAAAAATTGCCCATTTAAAAATTTTTTTTTTTTAAATTGATGCTGGAAAAGAAACGAAGGAAAGGCTGTTTCCGCCCGCCACTCTTCCTCATACCGGCTTCGGCTAAGCACACAGTCAACATCGGGGCGATGGCGCACGAGAAGCCCCGCCAAATTCCACGCAGCCAATGTGGGATTGGCACTCCGCCGCCCCGCCACGCCCCGCCCCGCCCCGCCCCGGCCCGACCGGAGAGCCGCGTCCCGGAGGAGTTCCCTGTGACGGACTGCTTGACACGGTATCGGGGGCCACAGGGCCGGTGTCTTACGTCAACCCCGACGGGGGCGTGCGCAGCGTGCGCAGTGTGCAATGTCAACAGCGCGGAATGATCCGGTCCAGTTCCGGGTTTGCGTTACTGGCTCTTACCTGGTGCCTGGCCCCGCCTGCCCCGGCCCGGCCCGGCCCAGGCGTGAGCCTGCCCCGTGCCTTGCCCTGCCTAACCCGGGAAACAACATTTTCGCTTCCTATAATTGAGTTTGTGCCGCTCTCCGCGAATAGCCCGCGCGTTTCAAACTTGCTTTTTTTTCTCTTCTTCTTCTTCTTCTTCTTCTTCTTCTTCTTCTTCTTCTTCTTCTTCTTCTTCTTCTTCTTCTTCTTCTTCTTCTTCTTCTTCTTCTTCTTCTTCTCCTCCGCTCCTCCCTCCCACGCCTCGGAGACGAGTAGCGCGCTGGCGAGCATACTGATGTGCGTGTGGCCCTCCCCAGCCGTGCCTAACCCGCTCTCTTGATCCCAGGACACTCGATTCAGGACGTGCCAACAGCCCACACTGTAAAAGGGAAAAAAAACTAAAAACCCTTTTTTTACGAGCCTCCACCAACTTCCTGCTGCGCGGATCTTAAATTAGCGAAAAGAGTGGAAATTTCTTGAGCGAGACGGTCTGAGCAATGCGATGGGGAAACAGGTATGCCCTTGCTCGCTGTCGTGTAGCCACCTTTGGTGGGCCCTGCCTCTGACCCGAACAACCGTGAGCCAATGCGGGACCTCTCGTTTCGCCCTCCCTGCTCACCTAGCGCACCCACCTGTTCCACGCCCTGGACTCTCTCTCTCTCTCTCTCTCTCTCTCTCTCTCTCTCTCTCTCTCTCTCTCTCTCTCTCTCTCTCTCTCTCAGTCTCACGCACACACTCGCAGAGCGGCTCATTCAAAGGCTTCCGCGAAACGGTCGTCGCTTTTTCCCGTGCTGAAAGGATTTTCGCATCGGCAATTTTAGACCGAACCACGTGCGGTGATAACACTTATAGGGATGCGATGAGATCTTTTTTATTTACAGTCTGCTTACCTGTTTCGCCATTTTTCGCTCTTTCTCTGGGCAGGGCAGTCTGTGGCGCGTGTCGCGCCGGGAAATTATATTGTGCTGAAAGGGCTGGCTGGCAAGCTGGCCATTCGATATGACTGGCCTGACCGGCCGGCCAAACAGAAAATGGGGGTGGGGGTGCGGGCTGGCTCGGGGGCAGTATTAAGCTGCAATTGTGCAATCAGCAGTCTATTCAATAGCATCATCAGAACCCCTCTTTGTCGATATTCGTCTCTCTCTCTCTCTCTCTCTCTCTCTCTCTCCCCCTCTCTCTCTCTCTCCCCTCTCTCTCTCTCTCTCTTCTTCTCTCTCTCTCTCTCTCTCTCTCTCTCTCTCTCTCTCTCTCTCTCTCTCTCCCTCTCTCTCTTCTCTCTCTTCTCTCTCCGTTCTACCCGTTCCATCATGTGCACGTATTGGTGTCGTTTAACCATCCCTGTACCCCACCCCCTCTCGGGTTTTGTCACCGTGGCTGGTGTCGGGTGGGCGCGTTAGGATGAACGGTTGCACCCCGGCCATACATCTCCCATTCCCACGAGCTCAGCCCCTCCCCCCACCCGGCGCCCCAAATCTCTCTCTCCCCCCCCCCCCCCGGCGTTTTGTATTTCTGGCTTGGTTCGGGATCAAGGGATGCGTTGTATGCATGAAGGTAAGGCGGATCCACGTTTGCGTGGATTTGCATGGAGATTGCATCGAACGCATTAAAACAGGAAAAGGACCGGTATTTGGGGGTCCCAGGCCGCCTTGCGAAACTCCGGTCCTAGAATCCAGACGCACGGCGCTGTCAGCCAGAGCAACAGTTCCCTATGGGAGTCGCACGGCCCTCTACATCTCGAGGCCGGACGGCGGGTCGGACGGCCAACTTTCGTTGTCCGATGCTCCATTACCCGGATTCTTTTTAACAACTTTTCCCTAAAAAAAATTAGGTATTTTGTTTTGTTCTGTTTCGGTGTTACGGGTATAAGACTGATCGTCAGTCCCGTCGTATGGTTCACCAGAACCTGCTTCCCCGACCACTTCCGGGTGCTCCAAATTCGCCCGGGGACTGCACAGTCATTTCCACACTGCACTGAGTGCCCACTCGGTACCGCCGACTCATCAATATGCCGAGGGGTTCACTGCAGTGCGTAACCCGCGTAAGAAGAGGGGGTTCGCGCTTTGCCGCGGCAGGGAGGGGAAGGGGAGGTGCTCCGGTAGCCCCATTCCAGGCACGTCCCAGTCGCTGACAGCGGGACAGGCGCGGCCCCGCCGCCCCGCCGCCCCGCTCCACACCATGCAGACCCGATGTAACTACACGGTGGTACGGCGGCCTCGTCGGAGGCATACCAGACCCAGCCAGACCACCCTGTCGCCAGCCGCGCCGCGCCGTGCCGCGCGCTGATTGAAACACACCGCAGAACTACTATCGCCGCTGTTACTACCGCCTTCATTGTGTACCCCCCCTCCCCCCCACCACCACCACCGCCACACACACGACACAGACAGACACAAGCCGCAGACACATTATTGATACCTGAGTGTTCTCAGCAGTGCTCCATTCAAACACGCGCTTAGATACGTACAGCACTGACGCGTAATCACAAAGCATTTTCGTTCAAAAATATTAAAATTAGAACGAAATTTTTAAAAAACGCGTTTACTGTAGCTGAAACACGTGCGCGGGGCAATACAAAGTAAAATGCCCCAACGCGGCCAGAGGGCCGGCCCTGTGTGAGGCTAGTCGTGAGGCCGCTCTGTGCACGCGGCCACGGGGCTGGCCCGGTGTGAGGCTAGTGCTGCATTATTAAGTAGTGACTTCTCTTTCAGTTCGCGGCGTCATCCGTATCCCCCTCCGGGGAGCAAAGTCACGGGAAGGGCTCTCAACTTTTTTTGTTCCCCTCTCTTTTATAAACAAAAAAAAGTTGTCCAGGTTATTTATACAGGGCAGTGGTGGCGGCGCGCCGTCGTCGCGGTGACTCGCTTTCGTCACTGTACAGTCGCGGAAGGTCCCCCCTCCCCCCCTCCAGTACTCAACTGGATAGGCAACAAACAAACACACACTCACACGAGAAAGCCAGGCAGTCCCACCACCTGTTGTGGGCACGTACGTGCACATTTGTTTTGGGTCAATTTTATTTTTGCGGTGCGGTGGGCGGGAAACGAAAACCGAAAGGGGAACGGAGGGGGTCTGGCCCAAGCTTGGGTCGCATGTGGATTGCGCGCCGGGCTTACAGAAAAACACAACGATAAATGATGCATGGCCCGGCCTGATAAATGGTGGAGAGCCCTAGCCTCGCGAGGGGCAGGCCTGGGGCAGGCAGGCGCCCACCTGTGCACCGCGATCGGAAAATGACTGCCGGGAAGCCGATCCGTCTCGCCCGGACAAAACGCGCTTTCCGCGCCAAACGGACCGAAAGCGGCGCCGAATGCCGGGGAAACCGAAACGAGGCTTGTCAGCACCGGGTCAAGGTCACTGCCGAGGGAGTGCATTCAGTGCTTAGGTCAGTACCCGGATGGTTCTAGGTCAGGTCAGTGCTTTGTGTAGTAGCATTGCAGTGCTAAGTCGGTGCTAGGTCAGTTCCAGGTCAGGTCAGATGTATGACAGTTTTTACCTCTCTGTGATCGGGCTCTGCTTATCCGTCCAAAATTGAAGGGTGTGCTTTGATTTCAACCACATACAGTATATGCAATTTTAGAAACCCTTGTGTTTTTTTTAATACTTTTGCGGCAGGAAAAAAACAACAGAGTTCGATGGCCCGGGCGGTTGTGTCGCTGTATACTGTGTGTGCGTCCCGGGGGAGCGCTCGGGCCGCCCCCTTGCGGCCTTCGGGGGAACTAGCTTCCAAACGGACTGCTCCCCCCCGAAGGCCGAAACGGCGGGGCCGACTGCACACAAAAGGGCCGCCGCCGGTAGCGGCGCAGGCGGCGGCCATTCGAAGAGTGTCGCCGCCACGTCGGGCTTTGCCTCAGGGCTTTGCCTCAGGGCCGCACAAAGGCCGACGGGCCGCGGTAACAAACTGCCCCAGAAAGTCCAATCAGTCCCTTTTTTAAGGCCGAGGCAAAAATTAGAGTCCCGGAATTTCAGAATCCGCTTACAAGCATGGAAAATAAAAAAATTGCACTCAATAGTAAATTTAAAAAAAATGTAACTGGTGTTTTTTTTTTTAAGTTTGTTTCTGTGGACACGGTTTGTCCGAGCTGGCTCCCGCCTCCTTTCGCTTTGCCTCGCGCTGCCACCAGTGCCACGACTTTGTGACCCGAGTTCCACCACTGACAATGGTGGGCCCGCCACACCAGGCCACCAGGCAGGCAGGCCACCGGCAACCCGATAGGTGCGGCCAGATTGGCGGATACCAACAACGCCATGATGAATGGGGAGGGCAGGATTCACAGCGTCGGGTTGCACATCACGCACTTAATCACGGAGAGAGAGAGAGAGAGAGAGAGAGAGAGAGAGAGAGAGAGAGAGAGAGAGAGAGAGAGAGAGCGTCACAACTTGTTGCTCTGACCCTCTGATCCTTGCTCCACCCGAGTAGGGTGTCCGTCCCGCTGACACACACCTAGTCCTCCTTTTAAAAGTTACAAAAACAGAACATTTTTTTAGTGTATAATTTCGCACATTTTGTTTAGACCTAGGTACTTTTCCCCGTTGCTGCGTTTTTACTTTTTGGCAGAGTATTCTATTTCCCACCTACAATCGCGGTGGCAACTCCTCCCCGGAGGGAGAGAGAGAGAAGGGGAGAGGGGGGCACCGTTCAAATTGAAAGGAATGCGAGTGACATTTCACAATTACATGTTGGTTGCCTTGTACGGCGGGCGTAAAAGGCGGTTAACGCCCCACCGCCTTGTGAACGGTGTGTCTCACAGCACGCGGCAGTGGCGGTGGAGTGGGAGGGGGGGGGGACGCAGAGAAGGGTAAAGTAAGCAGGTCCGCCCATTTTAACGAAAAAGAGGCTCGCTGCTTGTCTGCAGTGCGGCCTGACTAACCTAACCTGTGCGTGAATTTAAGATGGGTCGTGTGACGAAGATCAAAAACAACAAGTACAACAACGTCACCGACGACGACGACACGAGGACGCTCTCGCTATGCGTTCTCTCTCCCGCGGGGGGGCCAAAGCATTTTCGCCTCCCCACCTGCTGTTCGCTACAAATTGCTGCAAACGCCGCGGCAGTCCGCGAGTGCGACTGACGGGCCGAGAGTGACTCGCTCACACACACACACACGCACGCGGTGCGAGACGGGGCGTGGGAGTGAGAGAGACAGAGCGAGGCGCATTCCCCTAGATTTACAGCCTCAAGGCGCGCGAGGATATTACTTTTCATATCACGAATGGGGAATTGTGTTAATGTCCGGGGGAACTCATTCTGGCCGGGCGGCGCACGTGCAGTCCGGCGGTCGCTCTCTCGCACTCGCGGGGGTGGCCCGGGCGGCCCGGGCGGCCCGAAGGGGTGCGAGAGAGACGGAGCGACCGCCGGCCGCGGGGAGTAGCCGTGTATTTGAGAGCCAAAGTCAACCGTGGTAATGAAAAAGACGCCCCGGCACTCAAAAAAATATTAAAACGCGTTAGAGCGCGGAGAGTTATAACTCCCGCGGTGCCAACCCCTGCCCAACAGAGCGTTGCTAATGAAAATCCGCAGGGAAAAAAAACGAAAAAAATGTAAACAAAGTCACGTTTTTTGGAACCGTTTACACCTTGCAGCAGTAACAAACTGGTTATGTTTCGCGTTGCAGTGTCCGTGATGAAGCCCTCGGAGACGATCGACAACACGCTGGAGTCCATCAGCAGCAGCAGTGCGGCCGCCAACGCCGGCGCCGTCCTGGGCTGCAGCGCGCGCGTGCTGGCCGTGCTGGTGCTGAGCTGCCTGCTGCGCCGCGCGTAGACGCGTGGACACACCGCCCTGCGACGCCCCATCCGGGCCGTGCGCCGAAAACTCAGCCCCGGCAGGGGCCAGCTATTGGACGCAGCGAGGCGCTGTAGCAAGCTGAGCTGGACCTAGCCGCGCTGGCCGCCCTGGTGAGCCTCCTGGAGAACCTCCTGGAGTGAACCGCCTCGGAAACCTCCTGGTGAACCTCCCGGTGAACCTCCTGGAGAACCTCCTGGAGAACCACCCGGACAACCTCCAGTGCTGACCGGGATGCCGCCCAGTGACCGCCTCCAGGCTCGACGCTCAGCACTGCCAACACTCCGGGACGCTCGCGGCCAACCAGACCGACGTGTCCGTCGCTCGGTCTCCCTCGTACCCCTACAGAGCACCACCCGAGCGCGAGAGAGACAGAGCGACGCTGCTGGGTCCGCGGGCCTGTCCTGCCGCCGTCGTCTTTAGTGCTCAAATCAGGCTTGCCTAGCGCGGTGCCACGCCGCTTCGTGTCTCGGATTACGCTTACCTGTAAATAGCGTCGGAAAGAACGCAGACTCCTTTGTTTCGTAGCGCAAAAAGCAAAAAAAAAGGTCATGGTTCGTGAGCGCACACCTGTCTACCAGTAGTGGGATCAAGACGCCAGTATGTTTGCTGGCCAGCCGCTCCGGACGAGGCTCGACCGAGTTTCACTAAGAGGACGCTAAGTTAGGTTTTTCGGTGGACGCACGTTAAGGCTCATTTTACCTACCGTTTCGTGCTGGTCGACAGCCATGTAAAAAGTAAGCGTCTGTGTGCTGTAAAGATTGTAGTCTTCTTGGATTCCGTTGTTCTAGAACGTTAAGTGTTATCTAGAGCCGGGAGAGAGAACGGAATACTATAAAAGTTGTTGGTTCCCACTCCCTGGCGTAATGGTAGACATTGCGTTCTGTATGACAATGTTGATAAAAGACTCTAAAAGCTAGTGAGTAAAATATTGTTGTAAAGAAAATGCTGTATATTTTCGCAATTCGATCGATGAAGTTGTGTGCGTGCGTGTGATGGTGTGTTAGGATAAGATTATTGTGTGCCTACTGTACAGAAAAAGTTTTATATGTTTAAATCGTATTTAAGTTTCGTTGGTAATTTTTATTGTTACGGAAATGTGTGTACTAGTTTCTAAATCTACTTCGCCAGATGTCTTTATTAATGCTGCTTTCGGTGGTAATCGTTATACTTGCTATTTTTGTGAACGCAATTCAGACGTAAAAATAAGGTAAATGAACCACTCAGTTGTATTGCTCAATCGGAAAATGCCTGTTACAATCAGATTTATCTACTACTTACGTGTAGGTTCACACAAAAAAATCTGAAAATGTTCACATTTGGTTTAAAGAAAGCACTTAGGCCTAATTGTTAAGGATTTCGAAAACTTGTGGTGTAGTGTCACGGACGAGCGTCCCGGGCAACTATTTGCTTACGAACCAGGCATTTTATGAATGAAAGGCACGATGTCTTCTTGTTCAAAAGTCACGTTCCATTCCTTAAAACAAAAAGAATTGTTTGCAGATTGAATTAAAGTACCTGGATCAGGAGGACAGGCGAGTGTTGAAACGCAGCGGCATGGACCTGCTGGCCTGGTGGTGGGAAACGCCTGCGGTCCGCGGAGTAGGCAGCCCGCTGGGCGCACCAGTGGAGCGGCATGGCCTACCCTCGGCTGCGCTACCGTTGCCTCCCTTCAAGTTCTTGAACTTTGCAGACACGTTTGCAAATCGCTCGTCCCAATAATTCAAAATGATTTAGCGTTATCTTTCTTATCTAAAGCTGATATGACAATATTCCTACAACCCGATGCTGGACTAAACCTCTACTTGTGTATAGCATCAAGAGTGTATGATAAACATTGACCAATAGAGAAGTTGATTCCATGTTTCGCATAAGTACCGCGCTTGAACCACACATTTTTTTGTTGTTTGTAGTTTTCACAGTCCCGGTAGGAGAGTCAGCATTCATTTTTGAAGCATCGGTGCCAAAGTCACGAGAAGTTTCATACCTAACACATTGTTAATAAATTACAATGTTAAGCTTCGTGCAAAAGTAAAATAGGGCAAGTAGGTGCTAACAGTGCGGATGGTCCCAGATTTAGGTGACAAGTGAGTGGTTCAGATAAAATGCGAGTGGTAATCGAGAACGAATTTACTTAAAGTAAAAAGTAAGCTTATGATTTGTGTTGCTTGAGAGGCCGATGTTGCATTTGCATGATCGCGCCTGTTAGCAACGCAAACTTCCGATATTGAACTTCAATTTTCTTACCTAGCACTAGATAGAAACGCAATTTAGGGCGAAACACGTCAACGTTTCCGCAACGTCTTACAAAATATAAGTAAATGTACTTTAGGCGTAAAGGTGTTAAAACGCGCGCATCTTTCGTTTCTCTTTAGCGCATTCTCTCCCTTTCAATCTTTCTGACTCTCCATCAACACGCTTAAATTTTGGCTGTCTATTGGTAGGGAGGGTGAAGGAGTACGCAAATCTGGATATTCGTCCCTAGAACGAATCGCCCTGTAAATGCTGTGTGTATGATGTCTCAAAATTTCAACTGAATTGTTTCTAGTGGTCTCCGTTAGCAACCCTCTCTTCCTTCTAATCCTAAAATTACGTAATGCATTTCTGGTCTCGAACATAGGAGTGGCCTATTTGTTTTTGTAAATACGTTTTAACGTGACCTGGACGGTAACGTTGCTTAGATAATTGGTTTTGTTTCTTCTTGTTTTTAGATCGGGCCACGCAGGTTACGTCGGTTTGTTTTTGTTACTGTTCGAGCAAATATTTCAAAAATCAACATAAAAATTACAAAAAAAACAGTAAAACTTTTGATATGGACTGTACACTGAAACGGAGGCCAGCTAGCACCCGTCACTCGGAGTGTTACGTAATTTTCGGACGGCTTACCTTAGAGTGCGTAACTGTGTGTGAACGAGTTGTATAGTTGTTGTGCTTCAGGAACCAAGCGCCCAAATGTCTTCCTCTCTTGTCTACGACGTCTATTATTACTATTATTACTATAATTGCTCTAGAAAAGTCGTGCCCCTTTTGAACGCTTGCTGTCATTTATCCTGTAAGGGGAATGCGTTTATCGTTGTAAATACACTCCCTGTTTCCCCGTGCCTCCTTACGAGGTCCTTTTTTCGAATTGTTGTCGATAGTATGGGAGAGAATCCCATCCGGATGCGTGGCAGCAAATGTTTTCTCGGGTGCAGATAATCAAGTTGTGTATACTTTGTGTGCTTAATGTTAAATGCTTCCTGAAGTGACGGATTCGGTGAAAGAAACATCATAATTTGGTTCACGAAGGGAAAGATGAGTGTTTGGAGTACTTAAATAGTAACCATTCCACCAAACAAGATACAAAACGAAAAATATTCCAGTTTTTGTTTTGTACATTCCTTACTTCTCAGTGTGAGTAGTCCGTTGCTTCAAAGCATCGACCATTGACGGTCGAGACCTAAAATATTAAAAATACAAGAATGAGACCTACTGTATTTGGATAAAGAATATAGTAATATCTTTAGGCTACGTTCCAATCGTCTTGATCATTTCTTGAATGTTTTTTCGACATTTCCAGAACCCCCACACGAAAGAAACAAAAAACGAAGTGTGCCACGAAGAATCCCGCGGCGTTCCAATATTCCCTTTTGCCGCCACGGCCGCGCGTCCTCGACTCGTCCGCCAGATCTTGGCTGCCTTGCCGCCTTTGATCGCTGAAGCGCGAAGTGAAGGGTGGTCACGGCGGGGCCTCGAGCTCCTCGAGCGGGCAGGGCGGGGCGGACTCAGCGCCGTGACAGGTGACAAGACACCTCGCCTCCTCTCTGTCCCCCTCCCTTTTCCTTTCTCCCCCGCGTCGAACTGCAGCACAGAACAGTAATTGGCCGAGTCGGCTGTCATCGGGCCGAGGGCTGGACACGGGCTGGTCGCGCCTGTCGCTAGGGAAGCTAACGGCGGAGCCGCGACCCGCGCAGTGACAGCCCCCCCCCCCCCCCCCCCCCCCCCCCCCGGAGTAACACCGCCCGGGCACATGTCGAAGATCACGATGTGCAAGCCCTCATCAAAAACATGTCGATACTTCGCATCACGGCAGTCGTGGGAGCGTCTGGGCTGGCCGGGGCTGGCCGTGTCAGTCGCCTACCCTGAGGCACGACACATGTCACTCCGACTCGGCGCGAGCGACGTCTAGAAACCCTCTCAAGTCCCGGGTTCGGCGCGTTGCCGCTCAGTCAGACTCGGACACTGCCGTGGCAGGGCCGTGGCAGACACAGCAGAAAGCCAGGGGAGACGGATGTGGCCCGCCAACCGGGGATGGCTCGCTTCCCACGCGGCCCCGTCAAAGCCGAAGCTACGACAAAGGACTTCGTCAGGTATGGAGTTGGTCCACATCTCGGGCCAGCCAGGCCAGCCAACAGCGCCGGCACCGCAGTGGTGATGGAAAAAGTTCCGAGACAATCACACGCCTGAACGGGCCTCCTACATGCAGTCCTCGGCCGCCCCGCCGGGCCCGCCCCACTCCGCGCTCAGTCACAAACGCACGGCTGGAGCATGATGGGAATGATAGGGAGGGGAAAGGCCCACCAAGATTCCCGCCAAAACTTTCTGCCCGCGAGCTGCCTTGTATCCACTGCCCGACGGTTGCTCGCTCGCACCGCTTGATTCCACCCCTTCGTTCCGCTGGGGTTTAAACTCTTTATTTTTGCCCAGGCCCCAAATGTGGGCCCCGTTCGCCCTTCTTTCGCAGACTTTCCTGCGGAGTTGGAGGACGGAATGCAGGCGAGCTGGCTGCATGCCCGGGCGGCCCGGCATAGCAGGCAGGCAGCTGGCGGGCTGGGTCTGGGACGCAGACGCAGTTCAAGCGCGACAAAGTTTGGTATCCAACTTTGGTCGTGGCGAGCTGAGCTGAGCCGAGTCGTGCTGCGCTATGCGCTATGCACCACGCCGTGCCCACGCTTTGCAGTGCCTTGCAGTGCAGGCCCTGGCCCAGCCTGGCCTTCCCTTCCTCCGCTCCACTGCTTCACTACTCTGCTGCCTGGCCGTCCTCGCCGTTGCGGGGCCGAGACCAGGCTTTGTGTCTTCCTCTCTCACACTCCCATTGATACAGGAAAGGGAAAAAATAGCCTTCCTAGCTGGTTCACTCAACAGGGCTAACTACTTATGGACTTGGAAGCAGGTGCGCACCCATATCTAAAATAGTTCCCTTTCTTTTTCTAAAAAGAGATTCTAGACAAGTTTGAACAGTTTGGAACAAGACAGTTTATTTACTTACATTACAAAGATACAAATGTGATTTTGTAAAAGTGAATCCAAAATGCTATGCCACATTGTCTGTCATTTTCATAAATTCTGGTATGTCTTGGAATTTTTCAATTTCTTTTGTGAGTTCCTCCTTATCTTCCTCAGAAACATTAACTAGGTAGGTTGGCATATCTTCAATAGCGGCTTCTGTTACCTCCCAGCCTTCTTCTCTCAACGCTTTAGTGACCTGATAAAATTCTTGTGCATCTGTGAGGTACTGCAACAGAAAATTATTACTAACATCTAGCACCTTGACAGCTTTTAGAAATTTCTTTTTAGTGACTGGATGACTCTGAAGACACAACACAATAATGCTTGACGTACCCGGTAAACATTTTTTTCACCATCTTCTGGTCTTACTTCCTCAGCTCCTGATAGTATAGCAGCCTCCTCTGCATCATCCATAGTTGCCTCTTTTCCCACAGGTTTGGCCAAAATCACACCTTTCTTTTCAAATGCTTGTTGGAAACCTTGAGTAGCAGAAAAAACACTGCAAGAAATCCCATGAATCAATGAAACTCAAATAGAAAACATATAATTATATCATAATCTGTTCTTGAAAGACAAATGTACTGACGATGACTTATATATGAGTTTTTTCACAGCGTTTCGTAGTTCACCTTCCGTCATGGGTGAACAGATGTATGTAAAAATAAATATGCTATCACTTGGACCTCTCAGACGATACTCAATCACATGTTCTTTTGTGCTCTGTAAATAAATGAGAAAAGCAATAAATTAGATTCAAACTGCAGCAGGTAAAAATGGGAAGTCACAGTACCTACTTTTGCTTTCTTCAAAAAATTTTCTACAGTTTCTTTGGGCACATTAGCCATAATAGCTGAATTAACAGCTCTTGCGAGAAGTGGATTTTTCTCTACATCAGTGTTCCAATTACTTGCTAAAATAAAAGGAGATGAGTATGAAACAGCACTTAAATTTCGCAGAGGCGTCGCTCAAGGACCTAGGAGAATTTCCATTTTTACATCCTCGTTACCTGCAAGGGCTACTTTGATATCCCTCAACTTGCGAAGAGAAATAGCAGCTTTTTCCCCATCTTTCGCAGCTTTAGTATGGCGAATGTTAGCCCATTTACTGTGGCCTGCTGCGCGCTTCACTTGAGTCAGGCTAGAAGTAATGCCACAAATTCTGTTAAACACACGGCTTGAAAACATGGTAAAGCAGCCGAACTTTCAATGTCAAAAGCAGAAGTTTCTCGGGAACATAACCTCAAACTTTGCTTGACACTGGTACCACCCTATAAAATAAAAAAGGCAATTTTAATTTCTTCTTACTGAATTTTGTGAGGCAACAGAGGCAATTGTAAAAAAATTTCACAGACATGTTCATGTCAAAATAATATTGCAAATTCACTTTCTTACGGGTAATTATCTCGGTAGAGATTGTTTTTTCGCTTTTACAGCTTGGTAGAATGATCACACTATTGGCACTTTTGAAGTCATGAGTCGTGTGAATAGGGGAAGAAGAAGCAGAAGGAAGAAGGGAACATGTCTGCTACTTGCGTGCAGATGTGCAATGAAATCAATTAATTAGAAATGTGTAACTATGTTTAATTAAACGGTCTCAGTGCTCGGCTCTTTTGTGATATGGGGAGCTTCGCCTATCATGTAAGATCATTACTTTGCACAGACCCTCACTGGCTTTTTTCATCTTTCTCGTTACAAATTTTGTTCACTGTAACCTTGAATTTTAAAAAAATATTTCCGTTGTTGTTGTCCTGTCAGGCCCCTTGTTTTCTTCCATCTCTTTTGAGAATCATTCTCGCGGCAGCTCTCTTAAAAGTTCTTTCTTGTTGAATCCACACTACTAGAGTGTATGTTTTTCCTAGGTTAGGCTTCTTCACATATTCTGAGAAGGAGACTTCGTTTTGTGCATCAATCAACTATCTTATGGTGGGAGAGTTTTGTAGGTGTTTAAGTCGTGTTTTGTTTTTTACCAGGTGTCATCACATGAGCTTCTCATACCACCAGAGATGACCATTACTACATCTGGTTCTTCTATATGCCATAGATTAGCTAAATTCCTGAACATAAATCCAAAATTCTTCATACTCATCTTATTTGGACTTGTTTTATTCTACATTCCTGCTTATCACCAATTAGCTCAACCTCAAATCCGTGATGGTAAGGCTTTCTCATATCCTTATTGTCTTTACAAACACTTCGTCCTTGTTGACCACTTGTCTCTTTTATCCACAGAGGAGCTTGATGGCTGGCCCAGAAATGGCACAAGAGATGTCCGATTATTCATCCAACCTGAAAATGTGACAACTATTTTATCAACAACTGTCTGTGATGGACGTCAGCCGTTTCTTGTTGTAGTGGTGTGCTCAGCAGTCCAGAATTTCGAAGCTCGCAAAGTTATTCGTGAAACATGGGCATCCTCTGGAAGTACTGTAGGCAAGGAATCTAATCGAAGCAATGAAGTCCTTGAAGATCCACCTAAAGATGTCTTTGTTGTGTTTTTGCTCGGAGACCCAGACAACGCTACATTGCAATCAATTGTGGAAGAAGAGAGCCGGAGATATGGTGATATTGTACAAGAGGGATTTATTGATTCGTACAACAATCTTACCGTTAAGTCTGTCATGCTCTTAAAATGGGTAACTCAAAGGTGTAGTAATGCTCTTTATGTCATGAAAACTGACGATGACACCATGGTCAGTTTAGCATCGCTTCAGTCATTTCTGATGTTACATCAAGCCTCAATTGCCAAACCCAATTCTCGAAAAGTTCCTTTGTTGACTGGAAATCTCATTTGTGGTGCCAAACCAATCTTGGATTCTACTGACAAGTGGTATGTTCTTATTGTGAATCTCTTGTCTTTTGTTCATTATTGTGACTTTGTAAGAGGTGGACTCAAAGCAGAATTTCATAAGTAGTTGTTGGTAATTCTATCTTGTGTTTGCAGGTACATGCCAAGGTATATTTTTTCTGGACGGACTTATCCAAACTACTTGTCAGGCTCTGGTTACGTAATGTCTCAAGAGGCTGTGCAGGCCTTGTACGATGCCGCGCAGAGGGTTTCACTCATTCCCCTGGAAGATGTGTACATCACAGGACAGTGTGCTGTGTTTGCTGGTATTCGTCCTGCTGGTCATCCAGGGTTTAGTTTGGGTAAACGGCCCATGTCAACGTGCTCTTTAGGAAATCCACAGGTGAGTCCTTTTATCTCTCTGTTGTAAATCTCTTCTTCATTTGTTCCTGGCTGCAGAACAGAGATTATCCTCTGACTCTTAATTTATTATTTTGTACTTAGGTGATAACAACACATCGGCTGAACCCAAGAGAATTGAAAGAGGCATGGGATCTTTCTCGAATGTCTACAGCTCACTGTAATAAGACAGTTCCTGCTTCAACTCCTGCTGCTGCATCGCAGACTTACCTTCGGGGCTCCATGTTTGGAAGGAAACAACGTCACATCTTTAACTCTCGGCGAGGTCATGGATGTTTTTAAGAATGGAGATGGGTTTAACTTGTCTGAAAATGAGGATCTGCTTAATGGTGTTGCTGCAGCTCTGTGATTCTACTATTCTGTTTGGTTGGTGGTGATGAGTGTCTTGATCAAGGCATCCTCTTTATTTGTTTAGGGAGAATCTTTTTTCTTTTTGAGATAGCTGTGCTTATCTTCCTCAGCTCCCTACTGTTCCATTTTTACCAGTTTGTATTGAAACAGGAAAATAGCCAAAAAGAGCATTAATACCATTTGTATGAATCTCATTTCCATGTTCCATTACTTTTGTTGTTTTTATTAATTATAGTGGAACACTGGTGATTGTAACAGTAGGCCCTCCAGTTCCCACGTTCAGCTTCATTGCTTAATTTTAATAATGTTGTTTGTATTCATTCATATAATCTTTTCTAATGTTCTCCATTTTTTTAATGCAGTATTATTTGCCATTGATCTTGTTATTGTTTTTTCTCTTAGCATCTTTTGTAGCCCAGCATTAGGGTCAGGGCTTTGCAGAGGTATTAATGCCTAGTCATCCAAACCACAGTTTCCATTTTTTTTAAATTTGTGACTCCCTTGTTTATTATTTTGTGTAGTGTAGGTACGTAATTGTCTTGTTAATGCTCAATGCAATGCATAATGTCCTGCGAATGGCATTTGTTGTTATCTACTATGTATGATCAACAACCGTCCACATCCCCAACCCTGCCTGTGAAATTCTTATTGATATTTATGTGTAAATCTTTAAAACATTAATGGAGTACTGTACTGTTATAATTTGATGAGTATTCTTTCTTTGCTATTTTGAGAGTTCAACCTGAGTTTGATTAGAAGTTATGTAGCTCAATCTTGAAAATAGTCTATTTTTGATCTTAATGTTATCCCTCAGAATTTGCCCTAATTTTTAGATAGATTTATGGTAATGATTGACTTGAGGGGAGATTTCTCCCATGTTATGAATGAAGTGATTGAGGTGACTTGAACTGCTCTTGCCGTAATCATTGTATACCATGAGATTTCTCATAACTTTTTAGTTAGACTGCTTTTACTTATTATTCACTACCTGCTACTCAATAATTTTTGCTTTTGCAATTTTTCTAGTCTTGAATTCTTATTTATTTATGTTTAGTGTTGTAGTTTATTCAAATTTCTAATTTTTTTGAACATTTATTGAGCCCTTGTTTTTGTCATCTTAAAAATGTTGTACTTAAAACATCTCCTAGGTATTTTGAGAAATTGTGTCTGTTGTCCTTTATATGAATTTTTTACTAGATGTAGAATCTCCCTTTTTGTGCCTTTTGCAACTCATTTTTTGTAGTGTGTGCCTTTTCCCCTCCCTGTTTGATGTTTTAAAAGGATTTCATCTTAGGTCACTAGTCATTCAGTTATTGAATTGGAGTCTTTTGGTACTAGTAATTATTCACAAAGACTATTGAATATTTTGTGAGGAGGTTCAAATGTGTGCTTTCGTTCATCATCTTAGTAGCGTTTTCACTATAGTAAATGAAATAATCTCGTGAAAAGACTGTTGCATGTCTGAGTGGGTTTTGGTGAAGCTTGTTGCATGTGTTGATATTTCTCTAGTGCCACTGAACAATACTAGGAAAATTCCAGTCAATTTTTATTATCTGTTCTTTTATGAAACAATCTTTTGGTCTAGTTTGGCCCCCATTGCTTTGCGGTATGGGTTCCTGCTTCTGTTATCGCTTTTGCCATAAGAATGTGTCCTGAAAAACTTAATCAATCCAGCCCAATTAATTGGCATGTATATTTTGTTAAACATTGCTCTTTGTCAAGTGATTTCAAATGGTGACTCTGACTCCATTAGCGTTTTTCATGTAAGTAATGTGCGTATTGTGTGTGTACTGATGCAATGAAAAAAAAAGCCTGTGAAGCCTTAGGTCACATGTTGCCTTTAATAGAATATATGTCTCAACCTAGTAAATTTTGATCACTGTAAAAAAAATGTGCTTTTTTAAATAATGAAGTCAGAAATGTCTTATTACTCTAGGAGTGTAATGCCATTCCTACCTCTAATTTGTTTGTTGTTTTTCTTCCATTCATAAGTTCACATTATGTATTGTCATGGCTCTGTATTCTCGTATAGCGCACAAATTTAAAGTAAAGTTGAGATGACTTATCATTCTCAAAACTTTAGATTCTATTTTAGAATTTAATCATTGTTTCTTTCAAGCAGTGTTGTGTAGATATGACCAAAGAGAATTATTGGACCTCATTGTGAATGTTTCCAATCCAATTATGACTCTAGTTACCTTCATCTGTAATATCACAGGGCATTTCTCCTGGGGTCATAGGAGGATATTGAGTGCTTTGTCACAATCAGGAGAGATTAGGCTGATTACTGTGTTGTTGGTCTTTCATTTTAAAGAAAAGGAGGTCACTTTGTTACTGGAAGATGACCTAAACATTTGCCCTGAATATTATGATTGGAATCTTTGTCCAGAATGTCATACATCTTGCTCATTTGTTATCCTCCTGCTTTTAAAATTTTACGAGGAATTGAGCTGTACTGACATGTGTAGAACTGTGATATTCTTCGGCCATACTTCACTATGTTTAGACATTAATGTAGAAATTGAGTTGGTGGTTTGTATTAGAATTGTCAGGTGAGCCATTGTTGTTGACCTGGTCAATGTTTTGAAGGTGGTTTGTTACTGACACCTTATGCTTACCAAGTTTGAAAGTTCATAAAGTAATTGGAACCATTTCCCTGTTGATATGCAATATAGTTTGGATCTGTTTTGCTTGTTTAGTTTCTTTAAAATTTGGGTTTTTTGTTTTGATTTTGTGGCTTTCTCGTATGAATACAAAGTAATTTAGAGATCATATCATCATTTTTATGATATTATTTCCAATTATGATTTGTTTATTTCCGTCAAATCAAGAAAGGTAGATTGTTCTTCACTAGGCCTTCTCATGTTTAAACATTCATGTTTTTTCTTGTTTGTTTCGTGAAGTGTTCTTGCAACACTCACAGATTTAGTACCTGTGTAACAGTCATTATGGTGTCATATCATGGTGGAACAAATTGTGCACTATAAACAAACTGAAGTAATCTGTAGAGAGTGGTTGTTTAGGAGAAAGCTAATTGAGGAACGGCAAGGTTTTGTCTCCTATTAGCCTTAAGTTCTCTCTGATCTGTTTCTCTTTCAACAGTTTCTGTTTCTTTTTTAAATTATTCTTGTTTTGGTATCTTACTACTAAAATGCATTACTTGTGTAGACTTACTGATTTTATTAACTATCGGATGTGGTTTGCAGTCTTTTGAAATTTTGACAGTCCATTTCATTCCCCTATGGAACATATTTACTCAACAGAGAAACTTAGCTTTGCTGTCAAGTATACCATTTGGGTCTGCTAAGTATTTCATTACGTTTGGTCGGTCTTATCCTAGTAGAACGTGTCTCTGTTTTGAAATTGTGAACAGATAGTGATACATAGAGATACACATTCCCCATTCTTTTCTTGAAATGGATCAATTTCCTTGACTTAAATGGGGACTTGCAGATCTGTTAATCATCATTACAAGAATCTAAAAATTTTCTTATCTTGTTGTCATTGGCTTGTATCATGATACAACCACTGCTAGGGACCTTGTTTTTCTGGTACATCTCTTTCAATCTTGCGGTTGATTGTGTTGTCCCTATTTTAGTGCTTTGATGCTTGCTGTGAATTCCCTGTTGTTGAGATTGGTGGAGGTGGTAGCTGGCCATTGAATTGTCAAGTGCTCAAATGTGATTGCATAGCATCTGCATGACTAATCAGAATAATTTTTGCCCCTTAATTAGAAGATTAATCTTGTTAATGCTGAAACATCAACTAATTGACTGTGATGGTTTTGTTGTTCGTAGTTGGTCACAATTGTCTTGTGAGCAGTGAATGTTAATAATATATTTATTGAAAAGCTATGAGATTTGTGTGTAAATTTAACCTCGTATTTACAATACTATCTCATTTCAACCCATGAGTAACAAGACATTTAAAATTTGCTGAGTTCGTTTATACCTCAGGCTCAACGTTATTGTCAATACCCCGCGACTACGGCTGGGCTCGTCGGCAATACCCCGCGACCGAGGCCGCTGTCAATACCCCGCCAGCGCAGCTGCCTCACGATACCCCGCACTCGAGAGACTTCCGATCATGTTCTCGCTGAGATCCAATGCAGAGGCAGCTCATTTATTCTCTACCGTTTTCCTTTCTCGCGCGATATTTGAAATTTGTTCTGAACCGAAATGTTCATAATGGTATCGTTTTCGAAGACGGGGGTGTTTCCAGCCTCGCGCCGTCCCGTTGCGTCCCGTTGCAGCCCAGCTGACGCGGCCCGTCGGCCGATTCCAAAATCGAAGCGGGAGGCGCGAGGCGAGTTGGACTGCGACACGAGGCACGTCGACACCCCTCGCTTGCCACTGCGAAATTCAATCGGGACTCGGCGACTTGATTTGCGGGGGGGGGGGAGGCAGGCACCCTTGGCGGTGGCAGCACTGCCATGGCACTGCCGTGTCTGTGCCTGTGCTCCAGCGCTCGGCTTGTGCACACAAACATCTTTTTTATTGCGAATCAGAGCCCGGAGACGCGAGTGCCGCCGCTGCCGTATGCCGACGCGGGGGGAGGGGGGAGGGTCCAGGAAGACGCGGCGGTGGGAGGGCGGCTGCGGGGCGGCGGGGGCGGCTTGGTGGGGGTGACCCGGCCGACGGCAGCCAGTCGCGGCGCGCCCTGCCGCTCACCCCGCCCCCGGAGCGGTGGAGGGGGGCCACTGCGCGCACGCCCCGCCCCGCGCGCTGCTGCCGCTGCCGCGCCGAGGTTGGCTGCCCTGCGCTCCGCGGCCGCCGCAGCGCTGGAGCCGCGGCCCGACGTGGCCAACCTGCACTCGGCGCTCATGGCGAGGCGGCCGGGGCAGTGTTGCCACTAGCGAGCCGAGTGGGCCGAGTACCGCAGTCGAGCCGCGGCCCGCGCGTCCGATGGAGTGAGTGTGCGATGGAGTGGCACAGCCGGCACTGCCGCCCCGCTGCTTGCGCTGCTTGCGCTGGGGCGTAGCGCGCTGCCAGCGCGTCGTGGCGGAGGGTACCCGCCAGCCCGGCCAGGTCGGCCAGGTACCCGTCAAGGACCTTCCGCGCCTCATCGCGCCTCACCATGGCGTCCTCCTGCCTGCTCAACTTCGCCCGCTACCCCCCGCAGGGCCACCAGGGCCCGCAGGGGGCGCCTCGCCCACAGGGGGGCGCGTCGGCCTCGCCCGGCCCGGTGGACGTCGAGGAGGACGACGACGACGAGGTCCTCAGCGTGGGCTCCGAGCCCCGCGTGCCGGGCAGCTCCCCCGGAAGCCCCGCGGGGAGCCCCCGCAGCCCCCACAGCCCCCGCAGCGAGGATCCCGACGAGTGTTGTGACAATGTGCCGTGCGTGCCCACCATCGGGGCGCTCAAGTTCAGCATAGCCAACATCCTGAGACCCGAGTTCGGGTCGGCGAGGAGCAGTGGGGCCAGGACAGCAGGGCCCACGCCGCCCGCCCCCTTAGTGAGTCCCCCCGGGGCACCCCCCGCCCCCATTGACTTGTCGCGGGTGTCCTCCACCCCTGTGCAGCCTCCCCCGCCCCCTCCCTCCGTGGCGTCCGTGGCCTCGTCCACGTCCTCGACGTCCTCGTCGTCCACGGAGAACAGCTCGTCGGCGGACCCGCTGCTGTGGCCGGCATGGGTGTACTGCACGCGGTACTCGGACCGACCGTCATCTGGTGAGTTCATATTTCTTTTCTATCCGCGATCAACAATCGGGCTTCTGCGCAAAGAAGTGTGACGGTACAATAGAAAAACAAATCCAGTCGTATTTGTTTATTGTTTCATTGTAAAATGTACAAAATTGTCGAGTGCGAGACAGAAACGCTTCGACCCTAGTGAAATGAGAAAAATGTTGAGCATGTCTTTATTACCGTATATCTCTCAATAAATGCTAATAAATGTTTCGCTAAACTGAGAGGGTTTGCTTAAATTTTTCTCAACGTGCGACGTAAATCGGTACACATGTTACACTTCTTTGTGGAAGTTGGGTTGTTCATAACTGCGTTAACCTTTGTTTTCTGCTCCTGCATGGCTGTTTTTGTAGGTTTGCGCCGAAAAATGTTGGCAGTAATCTTCCATTGCGGTGTTCCTGGGTCCTTTTTTAATAATTTCCGTTATTTCCAATAGTCTAGCACTTGTCAACTTCAATCAGCGGGATCGACGTCGCAATGGCGTCGGGGATCGGTCGTCAAGTTGCCGAACTCGCATCCAGGCGACAATTTAACGAAATTACTGTCAAAATGTTGAATTCTGTGGCTGATTTGCGCAGCCAAAGGTTTGCAATGTTAATTTGTAGGTGCTGCGGTGCAGCGACCTCCATTTGTAAATTCGGGATTTTTTCGACCAGACTGTGGAATCCATTGTCTCTAAACACCAATTTTTAACAAGATGTTCTGAATTTCAATAACGCTGAGCGATGAGCGGTGATCCTGTCATTCAAGACTGCGAGCAAAGTGTCATTGAAACCACAATTCAAACCTGGGTACTCGAGGAAACGTCACAACAAAGTCAAAACGGGGTCCAAATGTCAAAACAAACCCCCTCCAAACTGTTTTTTCGTCGCCTCCGCGCGTCTTTCCATCCAACGGCAGTCAAAATGGTCCCGAGTCGTTCCGCGGCCCATTTGGACGCGGTTTTCCCGGTTTTCCGTTTGACGAGGGCAAAACCCCTTTGGGGCCTAACGAGCCGCCATTACCAGAGCGATAAATACGGGAGACTCGTTACCGACGCGCCGCGCGTGCACGCCACTGCAAGGCACATCTAGAGCAATAAAGGACGCCAGTTTTGCAACGCCGTATTCTGCTGAAAGAAAAAAGCACCAAGAAAAGACCTTTGCCAAACTAAATATTGCAGAAAAATATTGAAAATATTTTTTGAAAATTCAGTTTGAGAAAAAGTCTTTGTTGAGTAAGAAAGGGCCATTACTGATGCGCGACGAATTCTAAAGCGAGATTTCTGCAGTTGATTTTTTTACCCGTTTATGACTCGTTTGCGAGATGGGTGCGGGGCGCGATTCCTGGTTTTCGTTAATGATAATTGGCAGAGTACGCGGTACGCAGTGTAGTCTACTACGCACCGGACGAGCAGCAGACTGATTCCGAGAGTCGCTGCTCTGTCTCTCTCGCACCTATACGGTACGCCCCATGAGTGCGAGAGAGACAGAGCGACAAGAACGGCGCTCTTTGCACGTGAGCCAAAGCGCTGCCGGCCGCTCCCACGAGTGCGAATAGACGACGCTCTACTGCAAATAGACGCTAACGCCTTCCGCTGCCCACCTCGGCCTGCAGACTGAGAGGCGTCCCTCCGTCTCACTCAGGGCGCGTCCCGAACCGGTGCGAGAGAGACGGAGCGACGAGAACGACTCTGCGCCCTCGGCCCAAGTAGACCGCCGGGGCGGATTTGTCATCCGCGGGAGAGGGTGTTGACGGAGGAAGCTCCACTGTCAGAAATTGCTCCGCTACGTTTTTGCTTTAAACATTCTTCCTGAGTTTTCTGCGTTGTCATCGGAACTGCAGGCGGTTCTTGGGCGGTTCTATGCCCCAACTACTGTAGTTTGGAAAAACAACATCCACCCTGCTTTCCTCCAGCATCGAAGTGAGGTTCGGAAAGAAAATGGGAAATGAGCTCACATGCCATCTTTGCGTGTCATTCACTTGACGGCAGATGCGCGCGTTTCCTGCGTCCAATCATGTCGCGAGTTTTTGGCCGGTTTCGGCATTCGCTGCGTGCGAAGGGGCTCGACTGGGACAGAGCAGAGAGAAGGGGGGAGGGTGGGGGGAGCGTCCCCCTGTCGTGCGCACCTACGCTGTGCATAGGCAGCCACACTGATGTATGGATGGGTGTGCATCCTTTTCATCCGCGATGCTCTCCCTCTCTCTCTCTCTCTCTCTCTCTCTCTCTCTCTCTCTCTCTCTCTCTCTCTCTCTCTCTCTCTCTCTCTCTCTCTCTCCCTCTCTCTCTCTCTCCCTCCCTCCCCAGCTCCTCCCACGTCCTCCATCGGCCTCACCGCTACTCGTCGCTGCGGCTGGACCGATGCAGTGCACCAGATGGTCTGTCAATATCTGTCGATTTTCCTCCTCAAATGTTGTTGTTGTTATTGTTGGGGTGGTGGGGTCGAATGCGTCCCAACAATTTGCTCTGCTGCTGGCTTGACAGTGACGTCACGTTTTTAACGCTTGACAACGACAGCTGGTGCTGGTAACGAACGAGTCCAGGATGCAAAGACACGAGGCTCCTTGACGGACGGAAAGGGTTGCCAGTCCGTCTGTCTGTCTCTGTCCGGAGCAAAGGGTTACCCCTCCTTGTTGGTTTAAGGGACGTAATAGAAATTGAGGAAGTCAATCATACCCAGACAACGAGGCGGCAACATACCTCCACCGGGACGCTCGCGACGCCGGTTGACAGGTGGCGCGCTTCGGTGCCGCCAGCCCGCTCTGCCTCTCTTGCACCCCTACTGGAAGGCCCCTCGAGTGCGAGAGAGACAGAGCGACAACAGAGCCAGCACTACTCCGCGCAGGAGCCGAGTCTCAACGGGGAAGCGAACCCCGCAGCGCGAGGGGTACTGTATTGATAAGGCATGGCTCGCGCCCAGACCGCCACTCTCGAGAGAAAATCGCAAACCTGGCGTGCAGACGGACAGACAGACAGACAAAATGACAGACAGACAGACAGACAGACAGACAGACAGATAGGTGGACACGGGGATGGATGGGACAGCGATATCAAAGATTTCACCGCCTTTGCTCGGCCATGTGACGCAAGCAGCCGATTAATAAACGTCTGCAGTGGCCGCCGCGCCAGGAGGCTGTCTCTCTCTGTCTCGCTCGCGCTCACGGGGCGGCCCGTAAGGGTGCGAGAGAGACAGCGCAGCCCGCAGGTCCTGCATGCAGTGGCCAGGCCGCCTAGCGGGCAGCACTCGATGAGAAATTCACCTGGCGCATTAGCGCAGATCGGTAAGCCAGCCCGGCACTGCGGTGGCCTTACGGGCCGTCTCTCTCGCACTCGGGGCTTCCCGTGAGGGTGCGACAGAGACAGAGCGACCCGTGTTCCGTACGGCGTTGCGCGGCCGTGACGTTTCGGAACGGCGCGGAATGCTCACAGTGCGGTGAACGGCTCCTGTTGATTTCTTTCGATCTGTGTTGATCGAAATGGGCGGCAGATTACATCTTTATGAGCCAGCCGCTGGCTGCAGCACAGGCGGGTGGCCGGTCTAGCCGGGAGAGGGAGAGAGAGAGAGAGAGGGAGAGAGAGAGAGAGGGAGGGAGGGAGAGAGAGAGAGAGAGGGAGGGAGGGTGCGACGCAGCGACGCGGTTTTCAAACAGCTTCCTCATTTTGGAGTAATTTTCGAGTCATTTTCATCCTTGCCAGGCTCGCCCGTCGATGCGGTGGTTTTAAAACCCGTATGGAAATAACCGGACTAAACGACGAGGTGTCGACGGACACGCATGTGTTCGCCCGGCAACGCGAGCACGGTGCGGTAAGAAGGCTCGGACGGGCGCCCTTTCTCTCTCTCTCTCGCTCTCACGGGGCGCCCCACGTGACGAAAGGGAACGAGTGTGGGTCGAAATCAATGCGCGAACCGTCGTGGGGCAGCCAGCGCGGGGCAACCTAACCTAAAACCGGACGAGGTGCGAAGCGCGGCGCCTCTGTCAGTCACGGTAATGGCCCGTGGAGGGCGGGCGGGGCGGGCGGGCGGGGCGGGGCGGGGCGGGGCGGGGCGGGCGGGGCGGGGCGGGGCGGGGCGGGCGGGCGGGGCGACGACGACGTTGCGTCGGAACAAATTGACTAAGTTGTGTTCCAGTTATTGCTGCTTGGAGGCTTCGCCGCTTCGAGGGAGGCAGGGCCGCGACCCCCGGAAGGGTGGCCACACTGTATTCCAGACAGGCGCTTCGAATCTTGTTTCAATTACGACCCGACCGAGCCTGGCCCAGGCCTGGCCTCGGACAAGCGGCGCAAGGGGTAGCTGCTGATGATCTGGGGCGCCACGCCCCGCCCCGCCCCGCCACGGCGCGCACGTGGCGGCGATCAAAGAGTGAACTCGATCCCTCCCACGCCGCGCCACCCATGCCGGCGCAGCTCCCCGCCAAATCCGAAGTGGAAAATGAAAAATGCAACGCGGCGTGGCGAGGAATGTGTCACGGGCAAATGGAGCGACCCCTAACCTCGCTTCGGCCTTCCACTGCGGTGCTATCTCGCTCTCTCCACACAGCCGGCCGGGGGATAGTAATCTGTTTTCAAACCGCTGTATGAGAAATTGCCTCGAACGCGACAAACACGCAGTCGCAATTCCCTGCTCTCTCGCTGTGTGTGTGTGTGTGTGTGCAATGGCTCGCATGTTGCACGTGTTGCACCCGCCCTCTAACCGCATACACCCGCTCAGGAGTGCGCATAGGGCATGCACACACACACACACACACACAACGCGCGCGCACTGCACGCATGGAGAATCTCCAGCATGTCGTCTAATAGCATGGCCAATGCTGCAGTCGGCAACTTGTCGCTGTGTGAGTGTGTGTGCGCGTGCGCGCGTTTGCGACTCAATTTGGAGACGAGCCTCATGGCATATCCCGTCTCTCTCTCTCTCTCTCTCTCTCTCTCTCTCTCTTTCTCGCTCTTAAAAGCCTACGAAGCTTTTGCTTCATAACTACAAAGAAAATGAAGGCATTGTAGAATTGCT